AAAAAAAAAAAAAAATCAAATAATAATATAATATAGACACTGTACACATGAATGTATAGCTTACTGGATTTGCTTTTTCTTTTTGAGGCAGGGTCTCATTCTGTCACCCAGGCTGGATTGCAGTGGCACAATCACAGCTTACTGCAGCCTTGACCTCCCCAAGCTCAAGTGATCCTCCCACCTCAGCTTCCTGAGTAGCTGGGAATACAGGTGTGTGCCACCACACCCAGCAAATTTTTGTACTTTTTGTAGAGATGGGGTTTCACCACGTTGTTTGCCCAGGCTGGTCTCAAACTCCTGGCGTCAGGCAATCTGCCCGCCTCAGTCTCCCAAAGTGCTAGGATTACAGGCAGGAGCCATCATGCCTAGCTGCTTGCTGAATTTTCAAATACTGAATAAATTCATATAACCAGTACTCAGATCCAGGACAGACACAGAAACCAGCAGGTAGAAAAGCCTTAAATGATAGGCAAAAAAAAAAAAAAAAAGCTTTACCATTCATGCATATAATTATATAGTAAATATTATATGAATGTCTAGGAGGCTCAAAGTCTAAATGGGTCTTTCTAAAATTCCTAAACACTATCTAGTGTTAGCAAGAGTGTCACAGGGAGGGAATAAAATGAATGGACAGATGCACCATCCCCACCTCCCACAGCTCTCCCACTTAATCCCCTCTAACCCCCATTCACCATCTCCCTTCGTGTTAGATGTCTGTTCATCCCACTTTATCCGATGCAGCATAAGACGCTTAAATTTCTTCTGGGCCTTGGGGCCTGGAAACAGAGAAGAATTTTGCCAGAACTGTGGAAGATGATGGGTTAGAAAGAACCTCTGAGCTCAGACATTAATGTGGTAGTTGAAGCAATCCCAGGACCACATCTTAGGGCCTTCTATTCCAATAAACACAGAAGCAATGACCTAGCATATTATATCAGGTATGGCACTAAAATACTATCTTTTTCTCCTTTCTCCCCACAATGCTAATCACTCTAAGCCCAGGGCTGTCTGGGGACAGTCTCCCTCAAGTTTTTCAGACTCACCCCCTTCCACTACTACCACGTTGACATCCTTGTGCAGTACCACCACCCCTGTCAGGTACAGTTGCCCAGCATTGGCTTCAATCTTGAACTTCTTGGCTGGGTTGCTCAAATTTCGAACTCTGGAGAAGGGAAAGTTTAGTTATGTCTTCCATTTTAGCATCAGCAGCTGCCTGAATGGAGTGGCAAGTAGAGATGAATCCCAAATGGTTTCCTCTCTATAAACAAAGGCCTCTGGAGTAAACAAATAGATGAATGCTTAAAAGGTAGAGTTGATGAGTCTAGAAATATTTCCACACTCTTATATTTTTTCAAAGTCTAGCACTTTACATTACACAATAGCAGGTAACCAAAGTTTACTCTAAGAATCAGGGAGAGGTATTTACTATTATCCAAAAATGCTTATAATCTCATTGTTCTTGACAATGTAAAGACCTACAGACTTTTTGTCCTCTAGACCCTCAGACTCTCATAATATAGGATTACTCGGCTTGGCGCAGTGGCTCACACCTGTAATCCCAGCACTTTGGGAGGCCAAAGTGGGCAGATCACGAGGTCAGGAGTTCGAGACCAGCCTGGCCAACATGGTGAAACCCCATCTCTACTAAAAACACAAAAATTAGCCAGGCGTGGGGGTGCATGCCTGTAATCCTAGCTACTCAGGAGGCTGAGGCAGGAGAATCGCTTGAACCTGGGAGGCAGAGGCTGCAGTGTGCCGAGATTGTGCCACTGCACTCCAGCCTGGGCAACAAGACTGAAACTCTGTCTCAAATAAATAAATAAATAAATAAACAAATGAAATCTATATAGGATCACTATATAGGCATGAAAATTTTCTAGGAGGAGATGTGAAAAACTGTTAATAGCAATTACCTAAAGAGAGTGGTTCTAAGGGATCACAGAATAGAAAGGAGACATTCTGAGTAAGTGTTCTTCTGTATTGTCAGACAATTTTTTAAATCTTAATAAACATTCACTACTTTTGTAATAATGTACTTTTATAATAAAGAACTAGTTAATAGAAATAAGCACATTTTAAAAATAGAATATAAACATGTACTCAACATAAAAAAACAAAAACATTAAATCAACACAAAGGTAGAAAAATATTTACAACAAATAAAACGCATTTTGGAGTGAGGATGAAACACAGCAATACATCAGGGTAAGGATATGACTACCGAGGAAAGAAAATTTGTAATGTTTCCATGGATGTTGGAAGCAAACTCAGACCATTTAAAAAAAAAAGATGAAAAAAAAAAAAGAAATAGGATGATATTTTATAGTCCTCAAAGGACATACAATCTTTAATTCATATCTTGGCCTGAACAAGTATATTGATTTGTTCATTTTTTCAGAACTAATAGTCTGGTAAAAAAAGAAGACTTCAGAGGGAAGACTTGGATAACCATAAACATAAGTCATTAACCCTCGCTATTTTACAAGATTTACTAGCTCTTGATCCACACTAGGGTCATTAAAAGAGAGTAGGAACTGGTGTCAGGTATGCTTTTAGGCCACAATGATTCTGCCTCAAGCACTTGGAAAATGTTTTAGTAATTCTAAGGGGAAGGTCGGCCCAGTACGGACACCTACCTATATACAGATATGTGTACCCCCTGTGAAATGTCTTCTTTAAGCTTTTTAATTTTCTTGACCTTTCTCTGTTCTGCTGTGAGTTTTCGGGCAGCGTTGGCCTCTTCATGCGCTCTGTCGTGACAGGAAGGACATCCACAAGTGAGAAAGGCATTGAAGATCAGAGGCAGGGCTGAGGGAAAGAGAGAGCAACGGAGAACTCTCCCCTCCCTCCAAATATGGATCCCCCAGAAGAGTTTGGGAAAGGTCCTTGCCCGGGGTTTCCACCCAATCCCATGGCACTTACTTCTGTCTTTTTGCCATCTGAGCTCTGACATGGGCTTCTACCTTCGTGGGGTCTTGAACAGCTTCTGTTCCTAATACTCGCATCAGATTAGAAATTCTCACTGCAGTGAAGAGAGGACAGCAGTCAATCTTTGAAGTCACTTCTCCAGCTGGAGTAACTTGTTATCTCTTCTACACCAATTCATATTATTTACCTATTTCAAATCTCTGCTTCTAAACTCACTTCCTCCAATAACTACTACCTTGAAAATCTAACCCAATCACTTCAGCATTTGCAGAAGTTCACACAATTAAGTTGAAGATTGGTACTTATCACAGCATCTAGTGAGAGTTTATACATAACAGTTCTCAGTCAAAATATTGCTGAACGAGAATGAAACTACAGGGGCAATTTCTTTATCCCGCACTTTCATTGTAAAAATTAAAACATTAAGAATTATGTACATAAAAAGTCTACCCAAATACTGCAACTACTATCTCCATGAATTTCAAGACCTGTATTCTTCCAGGAAAACCAGAGTGTTGTATGATCAGTATGCTTAAAAATAAGCCTTAAATGGCCTCTATAATGAATGTGTTGACCTATCTTAATATGAAAAGATGGTAGAACACTTGGAGAAAAAAGACCCCAAGAATGATTCTTAGAAACAGAAATCACTCAGACATAGAGAGATGTTAAAGTTCCTCCAGAATTAAAGACATAAACTTGCCACTCTTTTTAACAGCAGAGGCCACTAAGAGATGTACCTTTGGGTTCTGGAGGAGGCATCAGGCCCAGCCTGACTTTTTCTTGTAGTTCCTTCTGTGCTTCCCTCCTTGTTTGTCTCCGGAGTTTTTTCTGTTCCTTCTTGGTAAGATATACTCCCAGAGTAACTGGTGTGTCATTGTCAACTGTCAGGGCAGAGATTAGTATACCAAAGCAATAAGAAAATTATATATA